TCCTTCCTCCCTGCCTTCTTCCTTCCCTGCTTCCTGAGGGCCTTGTGCATGCTAGGTAGGCTAGTGTTCTACCACTGCACTACTTTTTTTTGTTTGTTTTTTTTGCGGAACCGGGGATTGAACTCAGGCCCTTGAGCTTGCCAGGGAAGCGCTTATTCCACTGAGCTATCTCCCCAGCCCCACCACTGCACTACTTCCCTGCCCACAGTAGCTTCTTTATTCTCGGCTCCAAGACAGAAAGGGGGTGATTAGATTTCCTATGAACAGCCTTGGAGAAGAGAAATTTTAGCTTCTATGGCCTGCCTTAATGTAGGAATTATAAGCCAGGAGCCATGCAGAAAACCCAAAATATACATATAAAACAATGTTTTTGCAACTTTAAGAATATTTTCTTAAAAGTTATCAATCGATAACAAATTCTGAAAAAAAGCCTAGAGCAAGAACCTAATTCTCTTAAGGAATAAAAATACCAAAACACATATCCTCTGCACCCTGGGTTGTAACCCAGACTGATTTCCCAAAATGGACGCGAGTCACCCTTCTCTAACACAGTATCTGGCACATGAGGCATGGATCCCATTTCACCAGCGCCTCTAGGGGGCAGATTAGCAGTGAAAATAATTGCCCACAGCCCAACACCAGAGGTGAGCTGCACCTAGGGCGTAGGCCACACCACATCCCACTGCATGAGCTGCCCTCACTGACCAAAAGAGAAACTCACTTTGTGCTCCAAATGGTCCATTACAAGGGCTGGAGACCTCTGCACAACAATGGGGGCAGAAGACAAGGGTCCCTGAGGGACCAGCAAGGCTCTCCTTCGGTAGTGATCACAGGGAATCTGCTTTGTAGCAATTCTTCACAGTGTTCATTTGCCTTGCGGACTTTCAACGTACACACAGTTGACAAGTAAAATAGGAACGTACTTCTATGTACAGGCAGACATGCACTTACATTCCCCCAGAGAATAAGCAAAAGGAAAAACTGACATTTGGGAGACCCATGCACGCTGTTCCGGACCTTTTAAAAATTACTGCATTCCAGCATGTGTCCTGGCGTATCTGCAATGCAGGTAGATTCCATTCTACTCCTGTGACCTTTTTTTAAAAAAATCTACTATATTATAAATAAAAACACACCAACATCAACAACTTCAACTTTTAATAATCGAAATCATTTTGCCATTCAAGAAACAATTTTAGGGGAAAAAAATCTTCCCTATAAAAAATAAAACATCAAAATTATAAATATTATAACTTTTTAACTTCTGCAATTTAAAATGCTCTCCTGTAATACTATCCCTTCATCTCACACCTTTCCTGTACCATCACATTTTGAAGAGAAACAGTATTACAGCAAAGTTTAGTTTTAATTTAACACAAGGATTTGTACAATTAAAAAAAAAAAAAAAAACACCCTTAGGCTTCAAGGGCCTTTTCCCTCCTTTTACACATTAAAAATGCTGCTGCAGTAACCAGTGTCTGGGAGAGGGCATCGGTGTTCAAGAGCTGTGAACTGACAGGATTTCAATACAGTAAGACTTCCAAATTGCAACGTGTAGTGCACACGACAGTGGGGTTCTGGGTAAACACAGAGGATGCCGACACTAGACAATCTACTTCAAGTAAAAAAAAAACAAAAAAAAAAAAACTAAACTAAAACTTCACAGATACCCATCAGCTACTACTTTAGGTTCTAACAGTGTCTTAATCTGAGAAACCAATACTTCACAAACTCTAAGTATACTGCAATGAGTAATTAAAAGGCCAGCTGGCTGATAACAGTATACTCAAACCCAAGCTATAGTCTAAATAGTAAAACTAGTATAAAAATCATGAAGGTATTCCCTGAACAATAAAGGTAAAGTGTTGGATGACAATGTCACTAAAACCTCATTGATGCAGTAAAAGGAAGTCACATGCAAAATTAAGCAAGACGTGCCATACATATTTTATAGCTAGTTCTACTCTTTTTTTCTCCCATGTTTTCCTTAGCCGCCTGGGAAGATCTGATTGCCTTGGTAGCTTGTGCCGCACAGCACGACCAACACTTAGGTCTGCCTCCAGCAAGGTGGGTATTCTCTGAAAAGTCAGGAAAAGCCACCCAGAGGAGACAGAAATGCAAAAGGCACAGTTCACTTAAGCAAAGAACCAAAGCACCTTGGAATTTCACAATGAATCCATTAGGTGTCACCAAAGTGTTAACAATTCCTTGGGAATTTATAAACAAACAAACCTACACTAAAAACAGACTGAGTGTAAGGCCCCTCTGGAACCACAGAACACCTCTCCTTCCATGTTCCGGCTTGTAAGTCACTACAGAAAATGAGGTTTATTTCACCTGTTTCAAAGAAAGGCTTTTTATTGCACATGCACTTCTTTGGTTGCAAGGAAGACGCACTTTCGTAAAGAGGTCCACAAGGAATCCTCGCGTGGTCAGCAGGTGTGGACTTCCCTCCTCCTTTGGGACCACTACCTGCAGTGAAGTCCTTTGGAACTAAGGGTGCTGAGGGAGTACTGAGTATTTCAAATCCTGTTCTACATTATGTGAGAACAGACCTAACTTTGAAAGGGAGAGGGAGAAGGAGAGGGAGAAAGAGGTAAGGAAAGAGAAGGGAGAAGGGAAAGAAAAAGGGAAGGATAAGCAAGGGTACAATAACAGAGTGATTGTCACAAATTTGCTGTGAGCTCTGTATTTGACAAACTTCCTAGCTAACAATAAGAAAACAGCTGCCCTACCCTAAACTCATTTTCGACTTGTTAAACAATCTCTGCAAGGAAACCCATGCAATTTAAAAGGAGTCAGCCAAGGATCAGGTCCCACTACCCAGAGCTGCTACAGCAGTAAACCTTCCACTCCAAGAGGGCAGAAGCGGATAGGACATGGAGTGGGGGCAGATCCCGTGGTATGAAGCCCACCTCCACCTGCTGGCTCTCCTGGCAGCTGCACTGTTCCTGGGTCGCTCTCTTGACTTTAGCTCTTACTTCTTTGGCTCCATCTCCACACTATGTCCAACAAGAGATCAAACAATCCTAGAACACCTTAACACCTCACTGCTTTGACCCTGTTTTCAAGCCACACACTCCTGCTACGGCACCAGCCTCACCACCTTCCTCAGTGGCCCTCAGAGCTTTCACTTCCACACAGCCTTCTACACTTGCTCGTCACTTTCTTTAATCAAACCCCTCGAACATCCTCCCTAAATTCCCCATAGTCCCTAGAACTCTCTGCCCTTCAGTTCCCATAGATGGTTCCCTCTGACAGAAAACAAAAACTGAATTGGTAGTTTCCACATAAAACAAGTATTCAGCGAGATTTCTTGTTAAGTTTTAAAAAACTTGTTTGCACATCCTTCAGCTTAACATCACATAATTACAATAAATAGAAGAAAATAAAGAAAAATCAACCCAGAGTTCATGCTTCCAACTAGTCTAGGACACTCCTGATGGTTGCAGGTTCACAGCTTGCAAGAGGTAACACCGTGGTGCTGTAACAGAACAAGCTTGCAGGGCCCCTCACGAGGGACGCAGGTGCAGGATACCTGTGGCCAGGGGCTGGAAACTAAATCTAGAGATAGAAAGGATGACCCTAGAGCTGGGGCAAGAAGACAGCTCTCTGAGCAGAAAGGCACTTGCTGCTCCTCCGTACAGCGGTCCTGAGCCATGCCTTCCAGGCAGGGCAGCGGTACTTTAGCCGGGCTTCCGCGCCTCACCCAGGGCTTCTTCCAGCTTATGTCTGTAGGCTGTGTAGCGCCTTTTCAGGTTCTGCAGCTGCTCATCTTCCTCCTTGTCCAAGATGCGCAAGAAATTCTGCAGTTCTGGAAGGCTGAAAGCTTCCCACTGTGCAATAATGCAGGAAAGAAAAGGCCAGGTGTTAACTCAGAGTCAAGACTTAGGAATGCTGCCCCCAGGAGTAAGCAGGTGTGGCTGACCTCCACTTCAAGCCCTTCAGGACAGAGCTGTGGAGCGCAGCACAAGACGAAGCATCACCTGCACCCCCACGCCCTCCTTGGCTCACCCCAAATGCCCTCATTGCCCTTCCTGGTCCATTCTCCAACTCTGAGCTCACGGCCAAAGCCCTCCACACACCTGTGTCCATTACACACTGTCCTCCAGGCACTTCCCTCTTTCCTCACCTGATCTAAGCCCCCAAAATTTAAGAAACAACTCCCTGCAGCTTAACTTGGAGTTGTTTCTGCAATCACTATCCTTGTCATCTCCCACAAGCAACCTATGCCCCACCCCCAGGTAGTTTTCAGACGCACGAGCCTTGTCTATCTCTACTGCCCCCTTGTGCTGGCTTCCAACACCTACCCTGTAGCCCTCAGATGGCCTCCACAGGCAAGGCTAGCCCGTCGCCACTGGGCTACTTCCCCAGCCCTCCTTACTCCACTCTCAACTGTAGCCAGTCAGTCATGGCTGTGTCCTGCTAAGCACTTTGCTGGCTCCTCTTGGCTCTTCAGGTTCAGTGGGACAGATTCAGGCCTCTCCAGCACCATCTCCCCAGCGACTCGGCACAGGTTCCCTGCTCCATCTTGCCCAGCAAGCTCTCAGCTTAAATGCCACTTTTCTAAGGCCTCCAGGGCTTCCTTCTGTCCCATCCCAGCCAGGATTAAGTTTATTAGAAACTCTCACTGGGCACTCATCTTTCTGATCACAACTAACTTATTGTATTCATTTATTTTCTTTTTTTGAAGCAGGGCTTTATGCAGCTCAGACTGGTCTCAAACTTGCAGTGATCCTCCTGCCTCATCCCCCCAAATGTTGGGATTACAGATGGGCACCAGCATGCCCGCCACAACCTAATTTTTTTTTTCCTGAGGCATTTTGTTTATTTCACATCCTTAGAAAAAGAATCCCAGGATTTTTCCTCCTGTGTGTTTTCATCGCACTTCTTCATGATCCATGATGCCAGCTGAGGCTGTCAATATGGTGAAACCAAACTGATGAGATGGGAGCAGGTTGTTCCGCCATTTTTCCAGGTCTTTCAGCTGTACGTCAAACCACACCTGTTTAACCTGCCTGTGAGGTTGACAACAATTTTCGCAGCCTTGTGATCATCAATTATTTCAAATTCACCAATGTAACCATGCTTCATCATTACAGAAACTGGACAATGACTTTGGAGCGCGGCCTAATGAGGGCCTGGCATTTGCCTCTTTTCAGCATTGTTGATGCCCTTGAGAGCATCAGCCAGGACATTCATGCGCACCATTACGCAGCATGGAAAGAGGGTGGGAGAGGGCAGGAGAGGCGCGCACGCAGTTATGGCCAAGACTGTCTTTGGCAGTGCCCTCCCCTGCGCCTCACCTCCCCTGCGGCTGTGGCTGTTCGGGACCTGTCTCTCACCCTTGAGGCTTGTGATTCTGTTTCCCTAACAGCACCTATTCATCTTTTACAACTTGGTCAAGGAGCGGATCCGACATCCTCCAGTCTCCCAAGAGTCAGGGGCTGGGAGGGCCACTGCCAAGGCCAGGAGGGCTGTCCAGTGATGCGGAGAAAAACTCCGGACAGCCGGATAAAAATGCATGAAGAGGACAGTGAAAACACCAGCGGGAGGAACAAGCAACAGGAGCTTCTCGGAGGCGAGCTGCAGCAGGTTGTTACAGCAAATGAGAAGCACGGACAAGAGCATGACTTTCTACTTGAGGAAATCCTGTCACAAATTTTCACAAGGGTTTCAAGCTGCAGACATTAAAAAACACCTTTTCATGGGCCAGGGGTATAGCTCAGCGGCACAAGACCTGTCTGGCAAGTGCAAGGTCCTGAGTTCAAGTCCCAATACCAAAAACCAAAAAACCCTTCTGCTTCCAGCCCAGCCCTAGCAGCTATGCAAGTTTACTCCCTCATTTAGGTTTCAGGAACCAAGCAAGAATCAAGAGCCCAAAGAGCCAATAAAGCACTCCCAAACACTAAAGCAAAATGCTAACTTCAAGACTAGTCCAGGCTAGGGATGTGGCTCAGTGGCATATGTGCCTGCCTGAGTTTGGTCCCCAATCCAAAAAACAAAAACTAGTTCCTCGCACAAGGCTGCTGTAATCACACCCATTATGGGAAATGCTAGAGGTCCAGTACAAGGGAATAAAACCTGCAAAAGGCTGGCTAACTCGGCCAGTGCAGGGTTCTCAGAGGGGATGCTGCCAACTTCAAAACCCAGTGAGACTTCTGTACCCCACCTTCTCCTCAAATTGGAGCCCAAATTTCTTACAAAGCTTCCCAACTGTCTCCTAGGATTCCCTGAACTCTCACATACAGGTAGACATACCATTCACCAGGTTTAGGTGCATCCTCATGGGTAACTAAAAGCCACAGTCAGTCCACTTTTTACAGCTCTTAAACACACGGCTGAAGGTTAGAGGACTCACTCAGTCATGATCCCAAGCTAACAGCCAGCCAGACGCAGAGCCCTGATTTATTTCCTTTTCTATTTTTTTGAAATGGGGTCTGGCCCTGTAGTTCAAACCCAAGGCAATCCTCCTGTCTCACCTGCAGACTGTTGGAGTCCTGGTTTCTAACTTTAAACTTGAAAACCCTATTCTCACTTCACACCACCTCCTAGCCTGAGAGATGTGCTTAGGTGTCATTTAAAATTGACACTGGGGGAAAAAAAAAGTTGACACTGGATCTAAAGGACAATCCAAAGAGCTGTTTTCTTCCACGAAGCTGGCCTGAATACAATCTTCCCAGGAGAGAAAATGGCAAACAATGCATATGTAAACATAATTTTTTAATCATCTGACAGAGGAAAAAAAACAAAAAACACAAAGACTCTAGAAAGTTAAATGGTGGTAAAAAGATCAGATTTCCTTTTATTTCCCTTCAGAACCAAATTAGCCTGGAGACTTTTCTTAGTAGCAGACATATGGAGAGTGTCAACTTTCAAAGTGTTGTTAGAGTCATCTGGTGCCAGCTGGAGAAAAATGACTCTGGGTGGAGATAAATACAATTTGTTATTTTCTCCCACTTCTAAAACCTACAAACCAATGTGAGGAAATTATACTCTAAGTTAACTCCGGGCTCATTCTGCACAACTCCAAGCCTCTTGCTCTTCCCTCATCCCACTTCCCTCGCCTGGTCAAGTCTCTAGACTACAGCAACAAAACAAGGTCAGCTGCGCCACGCCGCGTAAATCCATCCGGAGAATCACTTACCTCTCCAATTTCATGTTCTCGAAGAACAAAGCTCAGTGTGTCGGTTCTGGGCCCTGCCACCAAGCGCAGGTAAAGAGGATGCTCTTGGTCTGAGAGCTTGCAGGCGTAGACTGTAAGGAAACAGCAGGTTACAGACAGATGTCCTCATCCCGGGACAGTCAACCATCACTACCACTCCTCTGGCCACTCACTCAGTCGCCACCCTCATCTTGGTACCAACGGCCCAAAGTGGAACAAAACCTTTCCACTTCCATTCTGTCTGCTCAATACAAACTATGTCTTGTGCCTTGACCAAGGAGGAAGTAATGTCCAAGAATAATTTAAATGGGTGTTAGTCACAAAACATTTGAAAGTTGGGTGTGAAACACCCATATCCCAGAACTCAGGAGGCTGAGGCAGGAGGACCACTGCAAGTTTGAGGCTAACCTGGACCACATAGTGAATGCAAGACCAGCTTAAACTATTACATAGCAAGACCCTGCCCCCGCCCGCAAAAAAATCGAAATTGTTTTTTTAAATAAACTATTTTTTAATAGTTCAAACTCAGCCAGGTATGTTGGCACTGGCTGTAAAACCCACTCAGGAGGCTGAGGCAGGAAGATTGCTGTAAATTCAAGACCAGCCTCAACTACACAATGAGATCCTGTCTCAAAAAAATAAAAATACAACTTCCAACTTTCAGAACAATGAAAATATACTGGAAGAACATGAATTCAAAGCTCTAAACAAAGCACAACTGTAACAAGCACTCTGGGTGAGTGAAGCAAGGAGGCTGCAATTTTAATCTGCAATTTAGTGAGACCTTGTCTCAAAATAAAATAAACAAACAGGCCTGAGGATGTGGCTCAGTGTGAAGGCCTTGGGCTCCGGGGGCTTGAAGCACAGCTGTAGGTGCCCCCCCACACACACACACACAAAGTTTTGTACAACTGTAACAGGTCAGCAGGGCGCTATCATTTCAGATTGTCCAGCTCAAGTCTAGGTGAACCTGCACAGCTGGCAAGGCAGAAATGTCACCCAATTTGTACTAATATTGTTTGGACAATTAAATGTCTGTATCTTGTACTTTGGGCAACTAATTTAAAGATAACAATACACAGTGAATTAACCACTGTTAGGTTCCTATTACCTTGTTTTGAAATTTTGTGCGGTTTTCTTCCTCTTTAAAAATATATATATATTTTAAAATTCACCAGAGCTTCTGTGGATGCTGTGGCCCCTTCCGGATGTGACTGCAAGGCAGATCCACTTCCTTGTGACGCACACAGACTGGGGCTGCTAAGCCTGCAGCTCTGGCGCATAGGAACCCTGACAAGTTTTTCTTTGTGCTATGCACAGCCCAGCCCCAGGGCAAGAGTTCAACAAATAAAGCGTGCACACTCGGCAGCTGGCTGTGCTTAGTCCTGTGCGACTGAAGGACATTACTAACATGTCATGGTGAGTTTTCTTTAGAGCTACTTCAGTCTTTACCCAGAAAAACTAAAAAAAGCTTAAACAGTTTATTACTCATACACAGCATTTCCAAATTAGCATATAGCGAATCATGAAACCACTGATGTTCACAATATCAATTTCTGCTCCACAGCCTGAATATCTCCCTCAGTTCCTGTAGTGGCTTAATACTCCTTCTCTCCACTCAGCGTAGGTACGAAGTTCAGACAGACCCACCCTAGATCAGAACACAGCATCCATTCGTCCCTATGTGCTTCTCGGAGGCAGGATACCAAGTGTCCCAGTACAATGCCCAGCAAGACAGCTACAGAGACAGGGTGGAGTCATTTAGGGCAGTGTTCTGGAAGACACTGTGCTACACACGCCTGCTCATCGGCAAAGCCCCAAAGACCAAGTCTGGCCAGCCACTGTATGTGCAGGTGGACATGGAAAGTTAAAGGTGCTACTGAGAATGTCACCAAAGTTTCTTAGTTGTTTTTGCAATATTAGGGACTGAACCCAGAGCCTGGTGCATGCTAGACATGTACTCTAGTGATAAGCTACATCTGAACCCCTATTTTCTTCTGAGACAGGGTCTAAGTTGTGAAGGCTCACCTTGAACTTGCAATCCTCCTGCCTCAGTCTCCCAAGCAGCTAGGATTACAGGAATGTACCAATCTGCCTGGGCAAAAGTATTCTTTAATCTCCTAAAGGGCACTGAAGCCAAAGGCCTTCCCCCTGCTCCAGACTGAATCTGCCCTGTGTACATCACCAAAGCCTGCATAAGCGCTCAGCACACAGATGCCTCTAAGCGCCTCGGATCATGGACAGCCAGGAAATGCCAAGTGCCGGCCACAATCACCGTGGCCTTCTAAATGCGTCCCTGGGCCTGACATATGGTGACACAGACACACCTATCAGTCTTCCCTCTGCGAATACAGACAGAAAACAGACACAGAGACCCTCTCACAGTGAGCACAGGAGCTTACCTTGGTCTTCCCTGTGACAGCGCTTATAAAGTGCAAACTTGGCAGGACTCTCTGTCACGAGAAATTTCTTAAGCAGAGCCTCAATGACCTCCCCGACAGTGTTCGTGCTGCTGATGTGCAGTGTGTTCATACAGCCACTGCTACTGGGAGACGTCTGCGGAGGTTTGCAGAGTTCCATCTGCACTTTAATGAAGCCAGTGTAAATCCCATTTGAATTCTGAAAAGGCAAGAAAATGCACACTTAGTTGGCGAGGGGTACTTTAGGGAAAGAAGGCTCCAGGGCATCAGGAAGTGAGCCCCTCTTGCTCTGGCTCATCTCGGAAAGCCGCACTGAAGGTTGCCCTGAGCGAGTGTCCCTAGAATGAGGCTAACACAGCAGCGACAGCGAAGCGCTTCCGGGGGTCAGGTCTGCAGGGCAGATGTGGCTTGCGCCCATTCGTGGGGTTGTAGCCCAGCTGGCCAAACTGACACTGCAGGAAGGCTTGGGGGTAGGCCCAGGCTCGTGCGCACAGAAAACACACCCTCAACCAATAACTTAAAAACAGAAAGGCCACAGCCAGGACTCAAAGATTTAAGTCAACAATGAGGGGACAATGAGAAAACGGTGCTTTTATTCCAAGTGGCTCCTTGGACAGGTGCGCTAGCCCAATCCTGCTACGTTCACGTGGGGTCCGTTTCAAGCATCCTAAGCAGCAATGCTGTTTACATTTATTTTTCTTAGTACGTATTTGCCATACATAATGATCATATTCATCACAGGGAATCTGTACCTGTACATAATATATAAACACCAATTTTTTAAAAACTATATGAACTACAGATATGACAAATACTTGTCTTAATTTATGGTATAATCACTATTTGTTGGTTACCAAAACAGTAGTAGTGCTCTTGTCTTTATTTAGAAAAAGACTGTTGGCATGTTTTATTAAACTAAGTCCTTTCCCAGGCTCTGTCAGCTCGCAGGACCCACAGGTCCTGGAAAGGAACGCCAAGGGATGGCAGCAGCTTTGGAAGGACACCAACCAGGTGGGCACAGCTGCTGGTTCAGCTACCAGCTCTGCTGTCTGCTTGGTGTCCCTGTCACCGAGCCCTGACCCCCGCCCTCCTACACCTGCACTCACCACCTTGATACTGCCATACTTACTTGATATAAGAGATAGGAATTATCTGAGATCTTATTAGAATCTGAGTTGTCAGGAAATAAAAAATCCATTCAGGAGGAAGAGTTGTAAAATCTTTTTTTAAAAAAAAATCAATGTGTTTCATTTTTTTAAAGCTAACCTAATTTCAAATTTTAAAACAAAGCTTTTTTTTTTTTTTTAAAGGGTTAGGGTTAGGGTTAGGGTTCCAAAGCTACTTTAGGACAGGTTGAACTTGAAAGCTGCAGAAATACTCTATTTTCCTGCTCTGCATATCTTAGCCATTAAACTTCTACAAATGTTATTCAGACGCTATAAAATATACAGATTATATCATCAACAACTTATATCGGCCTTTTGATGGGTATTCAACAACTTCTGTTCGTCTTTTGAAGGACGCCAACCTAAACACTATTAAGGGCTCTTACCAAGGTCATCTTTAACTTGTCTGTGACAGCTAAATTGTACTTGTGAACTTTCTCCTTGATTTCCTCTTTGCTGAGGTAAGTGTGAGTCTCCTTCTCTTTCTCCACATCCTAGAAGAAAACAAGTTGTGTCACACACGAATGATCACAGGAAAAAAATTCAGATCAACCAGGATTCTTTTTGCATTCCACACAAGAGGTACACTTTATCTTGAAATACACACATACACAGTCTTTCTCTATAATCATCCATCATAGGGCCGGGGAAATGGCTCAGTAGAATAAGGGCTTCCCTGGCAAGTGAAGAGGCCTGAGTTCAATCCCCGGTTCCGGGGGAAAAAAAATCATCCACCAACTTACAATGCTATAGTAAATTTCTCAGACGACAGTCTTTCTACAGCATAAATTAATTAAAATTAATTTGTCAGCAGCTAAAAGCAATACTTTTAGTGTGTTATTTTGAAACACTGTAATGGCTAAGTGTCACTTCTATAAAAACAACCCTTTCCCCCAGACCACCTCCTAGATTGGCCATGTCTATTTAGCTTTTCTTTTTTTTTAATATATTTAGTACAGGGTCTACAGGGTCTCACTACACAGATCTGACTCATAATGATCCTCCTGTTTTCAGCCTCCCAAGTGCTGGGATTACAGGTACACGCCACCACCATACCCAGTCTCAGTAGCCCTCTCAGCATGCCCCGGGGGCAGAGTCATCAGGGCACGCCAGGAAGGAATCCTGGTCTCTGCAACTGCCTCAGCAGGTGCTTTAATCCGCTGAGTTATCTGACTGCCCTTCCCTTTTTTTTTTTTTAATTTATTATTATTATTATTTGTGTGTGTGTGTGTGTGTGTGTGTGTGGCCAGCTCAGCCCACTAGGGGGCGGGGCTGGCTGGCATGTGGTGCTGGGGGATTGAACTGTGGTCCCTGTGCTTTGCCAAGCTTGTTCCAAGTAGGTGCTTTAGACCACTGAGCCATCGTGCCCCCCCCCCTTTTTGAGGTGGGTCTTGTTATATACTTCAGGTGAACTTCCTGCCTCAGTCTCCTGAATGCTGGGATCACAGGTGTATGATACCATGCGCCTCTCTTACTTTAAACCATGAAGGTACACACCAAAAGCCTCCCTTCAGTAAATTGTATTAACAGAATAGTATTTATAGCTTTACTGTATCAGCCAAAAATACAGTACTTAGTAAGAACTGAGGGCACTAGGGGGCCGGGGAGATGGCTCAGTAGAATAAAAGCTTCCCTGGCAAGCACAAGGGCCTGAGTTCAATTCCCGGTTCTGCCAAAACAAAAAAGAAAAAGAATTAAGAGCACTAATCAATGACCTCTTAAACTAAAACCAAGTACTAGAGGGTAATGGAGCTTCCCCAGAAACCCCTACGCCAAGACACAAGTAGCCAGACTTCCTCTATCAAGCATTCTTACCACCTCTCCAGTCTCACCCTACTTGGGCCTCCCCACACCCTAGAGGGAAAAGAATACTGGTTAAATTGCCTCACAACTATGAAGACCTCATTAAAAAATTATCCTCTAAAAAAAAAAATATATATCCTCTAGGCAGGGGATATAGCTCAGTGGCACAGCACCTGCCTGGCAAGTGAGGCCCTAATTTGGATTCCCAGTAGCAAAAAAAAAAAAAAAAAGGTCTAAAGAGCTCAACAGTGCATGATAATATTATGAAGCACCCCCATGTGATCACAAATGGCCAAACTTAGCATTTTGGGATACTGACAACAGTTATATATACAAGGCACCCAGCTTGCATTGTTTAACTCTTTAAACAATCCATGAGGTAGGCACTAACTGAAGTTTCCCGATGAGATCAATTTCTAGGCAGTAAAGTAAGCCGCCAAAGGAAATTCAGCTGCTCAGTGGAAGACACAGAACTTTCCTGAGGCCTACCCCAGAGCCCCCAATGCGGGCCGACTCCAGCCACGTACTGAGACTTCTCACAATTGCACATGGCCGATCTCAAAACTCCTCTCAAATGAGCAAATTAGCAACCCCATGTTACAAAAAAGAAGAGATGTACAGGGGGTCAAGCAGCTTGCTCAAGGACACCCTCACTGGTCACCAGATCATGCCCTATTTTAATTCAAGTCCTCTATGTTGTTTCTAATAAACTGAGCAAGACTTCAAGATGCTGGTGTGGCGCGTGTAACTGTCACACTGATTCTCTGGCGTGAGAAACTGAAAGTACAAATAAGCACCAAAATGAATAGTAGATGGTATGAAACAGGAAGAAAAGGTTCAGCAGGAAGGGGGGGATTAAGGGGAAAAAATGGAAACAATGCTGTTGTAAATGAGGTGAAGAAGGGCTAAAAAGGGGAAGGGGGAAAAAAACATACAGGTACAAATTCCCCAGGATGAATGTGGCCTTCCATGTATACCTAAAGTGTAGCAACAAACAACTTTTTAAAACTTAATTTAAAACATTCTTTTAAAAAAGATTGTGTGGGCAAACATTTGGGAGTTTTGTTTAGTTTCTGCACACACGGTTCACTGTGTAGCGAGGCTGGCCTCACACTGCCTCTTCTCAGCCTCCCTTGCGCCACCCCAGCAGCTGATGCGAGTAAACATTTGCAAAGTTACTGTCTGCATCATCAGATTGAAACCTATGTAGTGACTTAGAAAAGGACCCGAAAATGTTCCAGTGTAAGAGAAGATGACGCTACACCTCCTTCAGCCTGACCTAGCCTACCATCCTCACAGCTTGTTCTCACCTGCTCACTGTGCGCTGCTGTTAGGAATATACCAGCAAGGGCCATACAGAGCTGCAGGAGCGCCACATAGAGTATGAAATGGCTCCTGAGCCGCTCTAGTCTCAAGTTCTTTGACTTCAGACCCTAAAATCGAAAGAGGGCGTGACTGTCCCAGACAGGTCTGATGGGTCAGGGTATCTGCACATGGCAGAGAATGACAGCAGATAACGTGCCCGTGTCCCAGCCTTGGGACAGGCCTCCAAGCCCCTTGAAAGCATTCCCTTGGCCAACAGAAAACCCCAGAGCAATCCTATTTTTGGTGTTACTGGTTAGGGAGAAGAAGCCGTAGATTACAATAACTTCAAACTCTCGCTTCAGTGATGCTCTAAAGGAAATTCAAAACATGTATCACATCTCTGCTTGCTCTCCTCTTTCTGGTTCACAGTTAGCTGGCCACCAGCTATCACTGGAAAAATAAATGAGGCGGCCTTCTTCTCTGCTTCCCCTCTCCCCCAACTGGAAATCGAACTCAGGAGCGCTCTACCTACTGAGCGTCATCCCCAGCTCTTTTTATTTTCATTTTGAGACAAAGTCTCCCTAAACTGACCACCCAGGCTTCCAACTCATGACTTTTCTGCCTCAGTATCAACATTCACTCTTAGGTATTAGTTCACCAGCTATTCCTCAGTAACTGCAGAGTACTGGTTCCAGGACTCCCAATGGGTACCACAACTCTTCAATGCTCAAGTCCCTTACATAAAAATAAATCTTTTTCTGGTACCAGGAATCAAACTCAGGATCTTGTGCTTGCCAGGCAGGTGCTGGCCCTGTGCCCCTGAACTAGCTTCCTAGCCCCATAAAATGTTACACTGTATATAATCTATGCACATGATCCAGTTTAAATCATTTCTAAGTAAAGCCATATTAATATGATGAGCTGTAAAAGGCTCAAGTCAACAACTTCGGACACTGACAGTCTTACAGAAAACCCACTACTATTATGAATTACTGGACTATAGTGGGATATTTTGCTGAATTCATGTACCTACAACGACAATGGAATGCCCTTTTCTGACAAAACTAACAAAAAAGGGGGGATACAAATGAAAGACCATTTTGTATCTGCATACTTAAAATAGTTAGAATATACAGCTCTATTCTCTTAATTCAATGAAGAGAGAGGTTTGTTCTAATAGTGTTTGAGACAGAATATCAGGTCTGCATCTTATACAATGAATAACCACTAAGACAATACGTAATATATTAATTATTGAAAATGCGCTAGTAATTGGTTGTGAACCTGTCTCATTGCTATTTGGTTCTCAATAAAAATATTTAAAAAACAATTTTCCAAAATAAAGGCATAAATAAATCATTTCTAAATTATTTATAATGTCTAATACAATGTACATGCTAAGGATATGTAATTGTTACACTGTATTGTTAAGGGAATAATGTTAAGAAAAATGTGCATATATTAAATACAGATGCTGTAGCAAAAAATGCTCCCACAACCCCCCCCCCATGTATCAGTTTGTTAGTTGCCCACGTAATAGTTCTTGTTCCAGATCCAACTGCTCCTTTCTCTTAGAAAAGGCTGGTCATTGTGATGCATAGCTGGTCACTATGATGCACACTATATAAACCAATCCCCAACTGACAAGGCATTCTGCCTCTGTACCTCCTGTTTGCTTAACTCCTGCGAACCCTAGACCACCAGAGATCAGGGAGCCTCATACTCTGGGAATGATCCACATCAGTGCCCGTCCATACAAATCAATCTGCCTCCAAATCCCATCTGCATTGCATCTGGTGCACTGGCCAGAAGACCAACCGTGCTGACCTCTTTGGTCACTGCTCACAATCCTCAAAGACTGAGCAAGCACCTCTCCAGGTCTTGATGGGAAGGTGCAACCTCGAGAATTCTCGAATCCCCTCAGATGTCTGAAGGAGTATTCCTGGCGCCCTCCTAGAGCAACTCACGTAAGAACCCAAAGGGAGAAGGTCACAAATCAATCTGTCTCTGTCTGTCTTCCTGCCCAACCACCGGCCCGCCTGCTTGATTCTGGTAAGACCCCAGAAGCACCCGTGAGCTGCCAGAGTTGCTGCCAACACCTACAGCTTCACTCTCTGCTCTTCTACTTCCAGCCAACCGAACTATTCCAGCTAGCCACTGCCTGCGATAGCAGCAGAGGCCCTCCCTCCAGGGCTTTCTGCTTACACACCTATCCCTGTCAGATGGACTCAACTGCTTGTCTGAGAGCCCACCTGAGATGGCTGTCAGCAATTTCTTCTAAGTTCCACATTCTGACTGAGGAAAATTGGACTGTGAGCCCTGAGTAGATAGGGTGGTCTACAGCCATACCACCCCGAATGTGCCTTATCTTGTCTGATTTTAGAAG